ACCAGTCTCCTCCAGTCCCCTCTGTCCACCACCAGCTCCACCTCCTCCTGCCCTGGAGGTGGACGGTGGCCCTGCATACACCGTCAGGCAGATCCTGGATGTCCACCCTAGGGGCCGGGGTTTCCAATATCTGGTGGACTGGGAGGGTTATGGTCCGGAGGAGCGATCCTGGATTCCCCACTCTTTTATTTTAGATCCTGCCCTTCTCACCTCCTTCTATCAAGCACACCCGGACAAACCTGGGGGGGCCCCAGTAATTATTGGTTCATTATAACTGAAAAGGATTCAGAAGTGCATGTTAAAAAAGTATGTTGATGAAAACAACAAAGCTTAATAAATCATGAGGACTCGATTATTGATACCAATGTCGTCCAAAAACAAATGATTTCTACATATTCAGGGCCTGTACTCTGCCTTTTTAAAGCCCTGTTCAATATTCTACATTACACATTATCATTTTTATTCTTTTAGTTTGAGCATTTTAATCAGCTTTATTTTAAATTTCCTTCTCCATTTGAAGTTCTACACACAATGTCACATTTTAAACTGAATCACTGTTTGTAGAAAAAGTGTACCAATATGTAATTGTGCTGTAAATAATCAATCATATGCACTATAAAATGTCATTTTCTAAAACTGAATATATATAAGCAGCATGTTTCAGAACATTGTTTTATTCAGATATCAGTCACATTTATGCTTCTTAATGTTTTTTATATAACTGTAGAGCTTTCAAAAGATGTTACTTTTTTTTTACTCGCTCACCTCCCTACCAGAGCGTTCCTAACACCTTCAAACGGCGTCTCATATTACCTGATGGGTTTTTTTGTTTACTGAATCTCATGTGAAGATATCTATGAATCAAAGAATGCAGTCAAAGTAAAACTGTTGAGGATTAGAGTTTAAGACCCTGAGGAATATCACAGAGTATCCTTGCAACATAGCAAGAACACTGCCTTGGCCAAAACCCAGCTTATTAAGATCATCAGGGGTGCCAAGTCTAAGTATAAGACTGGACAAGCAAGTCAGTGTTTATTGACTCTCAGCATGACCATCACTCCACAGACTCACAAGCTGCAGGAGAAGCTCACTCGAGCATACACCTTCACCTGCCAGTGACCTCTATAGATAAGAGTGGCTCAAAGAGAGAAGGGGAAGTAGTTCTAACCCCTGCCCGCTATTTCACCTGGGACTCAATTGTCATTAGTTGCTTCAGTCTTACATTGACTTGTAACTATATGAACATTCTACATATGGGTAAAAACAAGTTTATGAACAAATATTGACATTAAAGTGAGAAAAAATATGTGTATAATATGCTAATATATGGATGAGATGATGCTGTGTGAAATGTCATTTCTGAAACTTTTCAACACCTCTCTCTCCACTGCAAACACACAAAGCTATTTAAAGGTGTAGAGATATGTTTGTTTTTCTGATAGTATAGCCTTTAATAATTAAAGAAAACAGGGTTTCTTTTGTTAGAAAACTAAATATGCAAAAGAGGACAAAGCAAAGATGTTGCATTCACAATCAGAATACTGGAACTGTTGCACCACCTTCAAGAACAGAGAGAAGACTTGAATTTCAACAACGGATCGAGTATAAGGGGAGGTCTCCTCACATTCTGGATCCCTTTCAATTCTTTCTGATTCACTTTTCTTTAGCTCATGGGTGTATTCATTTCCTCCTCTGCCATTTTGAATGACACTGAACCCCCAAATTCCTCCTAGCAACTACCTACACTACAATCTTCTATCACTGCTCCTCTCCCTAAAGGCTCAGTCCCATCACCAGTGCTGTTGCTGCTGCTTTGCTCCTCATAGAAGAGAAGGTGAAAGATTTAACTGGCAGCTTAACATCAGTCAGACTGCAAGGTCTGATTGAGTCTCACCTGGAGCCCGCACAGAGGGTACCACCCAGATGACCCCACTGTTCAAGAAAACATTCAACTTGTACATGATCAAAATAAACAGTTCTTCTTGTGTCAACTGTGCACAGTTGGCCTCACTCTGCAGAAAGGTATAATTCCATGTCTTAATGTTGACAGGGGTGCCAAACCCAATCAATATAATGCAGAAATATCTTTATTACCTTGGCCCCTATGGAAGGATTTTGTTCATTCACTCTGACTGCTAAAACTGCTCCCACATGTGTTTTGACAAAAACATTGGCACCAGAGGCAGCTGTCAAACTGTCTTCAAGAATGTTGACATTTTACAGATGGAAGGAAAGAAAAACATAAAGTTAACTAGTGCACTTAAAGGTAAGTGTTGCAACACAGCAACAACAATTTGTTTTGCACAAAGCATCCATATTAATTGAATTGAATCTTAATATCCATGTGACATGCATGTGAATTATGTAGCGAATACCATACTGCTTGTCTGGGCTAGTAGATTCTGCTTTAGTATTATATAAATGACTAGTGTTAGTGATTATTAGGAAAAATATAAGGTGGGCAATGTAGAAGTAAAATGACTCAGATTGGCTGAACAAAAATTCTGTGTAAGAGACAAAAAATATAGGAAAGCAGTGTACGTATAGTATGTATCAACTGTCATGTGTTAACTATTGTTAAAGTGACTAACATCGTCAAATCATCATCATTATATATTTTAATGTATATGACATTTTGTAAAGGGACATAAATTACAGTATTATGTTAAAGGAGATTATAAACAATACTGCTCTTAATAAGCTTTTGGCTAAGAGAAAAACAAGTAGAAAAGATGCAGGGCTATGTGGCTGCATGCATGTGAGTATTTCCATAATACATAAAAAAAGGTTTTTTTAAAAATGAATAATATAATTGTGTTGGAGCGCTTGTGCACCTGCCCTGGTTACCATAGAGACAGACTATCTACTGACTGAATAAACTCAATGACTGACTGGGTGACATTTGCTCCTTTAGTTGGCTGTTCTACATGTCCAACAGAAATGAGTCAAGCATAGAATTAAGTTGAATATAATTGTTAAATTACTAATGTTAAAGGGTTGGGGTTGTGTCTGGGAAGGAATGATTCAGTTATAGAGATAAAATAGATTACTTAGTGCTTACTGGGTGTTGTGAAATAACAGCAGAAGAGACTATGATTCCACAGCAGCTCCGGGTCTCTTGTTCTTCTACAGAACTTGGATTTTCACCTGTTAACTGCTGCAAATCAGGCTCATGAATTTCTAGTGTAGGGTGTGCTCTTCCCTGCTTTGGTTATCATCCCACACTGCTAGAGAGTATCTTTCAACACTGCTCAAGTGTGGAAAGATAACAGATGATTTAATGATTTTCTCAACTGATGTGATTTGATATATTGGCTGACTCTGCACCTTTGGCTAGTATAACAGGTAAAATCCATTACCATCCCACCAACATGATTTATGATGGGTTGTATCATAGCTGTGGGTCTCTTACAGCTGATCTACCAATAGGAATTACTGCAAAATGATATTTCATACACTTCTAGTGACTGTAAACCCTGGCTGTTGGTAATGAGAAAGCAATGGCCTTTGATTGGAAACACTTGCTAAGGGCATGTGCATTCGATTTAGCTATTCATCCACACAAAAACACTAATGTAGGGTCCCTCCTGTCACACAAAAACCCATTAGATCAAAGAGGCTGCTTTCAGACATCGCCCATGTATAAAGGGAGACATAAACATGCACAGGTCTTACACTTTAAATTCTTTGTTGTTGTGCGTATCTAACTGAAATCAGAGTTTACTTTCATGAGTATTTTACTGTTTGTTCTCTATTTGAGCAGTCATGTTAGAAAACTCTTTGCACCCTTTCTCTGATGTGATATATTTGCCAAATGGCAAGTAGTTACATAACATGCTGCATGTTATTGTACAGTAGCTATAATTATTATTTGGAGGAGAGCAGAAGAAAAGTGTTGTTCACCACTGATCAACTATCTCTGTTCTTGACAAGTGAAGGGGAACAATAGAGAAACTTTAGCTGACAGCCTGAGCTTTTCCCACATGAATAATTTTACAGATAGATGCATAAATATATTGAGGGAAGTTGTTCACATGAATTATGGGCAGAACCAAAAAAAAAGTCTTTGGCCAAACTCCCCATCACACACCACTGTTTCATCGTAGACTAATAAGTCAGCACATTATACTGGTTTATAGATATGACTGTCAGATATGGAGATTATATACATGTTTTGATCTGGGATGTAGCTGTTAGTATGTGTGCGCTGCGCACTTCCGACATATTAAATGTGCCTAGTGGTCGGTGGAGTGGCGAGAAACAGCACCCTGGACTCTCACTGTAGAGCAGAGAGGATTACTCGTGCGGATGCGCTTAATGTTTCTCCAGTATAGGCTGCATGCACGAAATGTCTCAGAAGGAAACTGCCGCGTGATTTATTAACATGGCAGACACTCGTCAGAATTGTATGCGCAGAAATCTTTTCAAGTAAGTAAACGGCTCTAATTAGAGACCCCTTTAAAAGTCAGTTATGATGTTTGCAGCTTGAATAAAATAAACGGACGGGGATGAGACAAACGGATCACATGTTCTGCTTTACAGGATCTTGGTAATAAAATGCAGTTTGCTGATCACCATTACAGATCGGATTGAAGTCATGCACTCATATTGTAGCTAAAGTGAAAGGCTATGCAGACTTAATGACTTATTACCATTACTCACAGACCCTAGACCTCAGATCTACTCGGATGTGTTTTAATTGCAGTGCAACGTCTTATCAGCCAGCAGCGCATCATTACTGTGGGTGACATATCTATAGTGCTGCCTTTCAGCCATGGCAGCCCATCAACCTGTAACACCGAGCATCTTCTTTATAGGCTCCTCAATTATAAGTGCGCCGCAGACAACAAGTTGCTTTAAACAATCTATTTGGACAACGGCCTGCGATATCAGACATCACTTCGGACAAGTCAATATCTTATGGAAACTTCATTCATATGGCAAGACAAAATCTTTGACAAATCAACCTAAAATTCTTGATTAATTCTCCATTTCAGTACCTGAGCCGGAGACTTCTCTATAACCGCCTGTCGCGTAGCCAAATCGTCCGCAGCTGATATGTCCACCGGTGCGCCCGGAGGCACCCTCAGACCTCCGTCACAATAACTTCAGCAGCCACAAAATCCGGTCATATCATTTTAAACTTTCCGTATCAAATTCAGGATCCGGCGTCCCTCGTCCGACCGTGGCTTTCCGTCCGTCTGAATATTAGGTTATAACCGAAGTTATGAGTGGTTTGTGTTAGATTATTTTATGCTACAGATGGAAAATTAAGAGTCTCACTCCACAGGGATAACACACTGCGTGCCATTTTCAACTCGGAATAACTGATCCCTGCCAAGATATAAAGTCGCTGGCGCATCCCTGTGGTCCAAGTTTCTCCGGCGCTTCCTTTCACAAGTAGCCGAGAGCACTCTAAGGTCGCACTGGGTGTCTAAACCACAGCAACACAAATGGCATGTTTGAAACGCAAAAACGGAATCACTAACCGGCCCTGAACAAGAAGCCCGTCTGAAGCATTTTCAGAGAGCAAGTGGTGAGATAGTGTAGTTGCTCCTCTCTCACCCTCCCTCTACTCATCAGAGCGTGGGAGGAGGTGGGGCTCCAGCCACCGCAGCGCACAGCAACTTCACACTCAACCTCACCATTATGCCTGGGCTGTATAGCGGGAAACGGTGTGATTTCTACATTGTGAGACGATCTCATCCAAATGGATCAGCTCAAATAGGTGAACGCATGTCATTAAATAATCGTGCCATGCGACCACACTGGCTGCCTTGTTTTGTTCTTGCTGCACAACGATCGGTGCTTCCACCGTTATAATCCACTGGTTGTAAAACGTGTCTAAAATGGGATGTAACAGGTAGCCTGCACTGACTTTACTTGTTGATATGCATCCCATGTAGGAAAATAAGCGGCTTAAAATGGAAGCTGGTCGCCCACTATTCCTTTAGCGCCACCCTCAGGCGGTTATAATGAGGAAAGGATGCTACATTAGTCCTTTACATTAGCAGAGGAATTAAAGCAATAAAATAACTGAATGGTACCATTGCATGATGTTGGAGTGATGAACCTGACAGTGAACACGATAACTTTCACTTGCACAGAAAGAAGGCAATGCTGTTGGCGTGTACAGTGGATTCAATTGTTATGTTAAACATTGAAAGCATCTTTATGCAGCAGTGTATTTAAAAAAAGCAATGTTTTGCGCTCCTGGCTATAAATCACCATGGTTCGGCAGGGAGTAAAATCCACCCTAGACCCCAGTTTCTTTTTCCTTCCTTCCCAAACACTGATGCCAGTGATCATAACTGCTTAAGCAGTAACAGACCAGGAGCAATGAGTCAAACACAGGTTTTGTCACAGAGGAAAGCCTTCAGCAATGTCCTCCGGAGAAAACTTGATTTCCTATCTTCCCCAGACATTCTGAAATAAGAGTTTATCAGAGTGTTTCCAGTCTGTGATCCTTTACTCCTCCCCCATCTCTCATTAGCTGCAAACACACAGCTGTTGGGTTACATCTCCAGGGCTCCCATTAAGGGCTGCCACTCAGGCGTCCACTGTCCCTGAGCCAATCACATTAGAGCTCCCGCCCACGCACTGCTACTGCCATGCTGCACTTCACCAGCCATGCTAACATTTAACTATTTTCAAAGGTAGCCCATAAGTCATCTGAGTTCAGGGAGAAAGAACAAAGCTCTTATATGTGTACCAATAAAAGACCAATCATTTTTGTCAAATAATTACATCTTAAATGTTTTAAAGCATTGTTAAAATAAGATTTTGTGTGATTGCAAACAATTTAACTCGCAATGTTCTCAATGTTTCTTGTGAAATGGAGAAATGGAGTTTTATCTTTTGATGTTTATTGAATATTTTCTCTCCATTCAGCTGCATTTTTATAACAAAACACATAAATTAAAGGAAGAATTTAAGGTAACATGCGAGTCATCAGTGTGACGATTCGCTGTGGCGACCCCTCAACGGGAGAAGCTGAAAGTGACTTTCTTTCTTAAGGCAGATAATTACACTTAAATTAACTATGTGTATTGTGTATTGCGATTCATGCATTTCCTAAACCGAACAAAAGAGACAGACCAGGGTCACAATCAGTGGTATTGTCCTTTTCAGGTATAAGTGAGTGAGGCCGAAACACTTCTTTATTTGATGTCCCTATAAGTCAGTTTAAAGAGCACCGGTCTGTTTGATTCCCACTCACCTTTTCCTGGTGGCCATATTTGAATATGAAAGAGGTAAAACAAGAACAAGGCAAAGGTAATTAGTGCATCAGTACAAAGACAAAATGCCCCCAAACTCTCCCAAATTCTCCAACAGAGTCTGTTCACTGTGAAGGATCTGGCCAGCACATTTTCTTTGGCCAGTGCTCTGAGTATTACAGCATCAGACTTTGGCTCTGATTCTTGTTCAATTTGACTTAGTCATATAAACACATCCAGCAAGCATTAATTTAGCATTTGGCAAGTTTTTCTCAAGTAATGTATTTTTGAGACCCTTGACTGCTTGACTTCTCAGAGAGGATGTTATAATTTTAAGATCATGGCTTGTTCGCTGGAGCACACATAGCAGCGCAGCATATAATGATTTCAAAGAAGGCAAATACAGAGAAAATACTATCAGATACTACAATAAACTGATGCAAAGACAGAAGCACAAATATAACACATAAGGGGATACATCTAAAGGTAGAAAAATGTGATCTAAAAAAGCTAAATATAAATAAATAAAATGGCAGCCAAAGCTTCCAGAGTGCACTTTGAAGAGTAAATCCAGACGACCGAGTACAGACACAAATCCAATGCTGCACTGCTCTCCGTAGGTACAAATGTTCAAGGATGTTGTACCTCTGGTCACATCCCAGTCAGTGATGTTGCAGCAGCTGTTTTGACTTTGACAGCTGATACCAAATACCCACTGTAACATCATCGGGTGTGGCCAAGTGTGCAACATCTTAACTCAAAGAAAGAAGCAGTTTTCTGTCATGTATGATTTGGTGTGGATTTACTCTTTGTGACCACAATAAAAATATAGTCTGGGATACTCCATCCTCAGTTATGGAGAGAAACATCCTTCACTATCCTAACATTTCTCACTCACGCTTAGGTAGGCACAGAGTTGAAGAATAGAGTATGTTGCAGTGAAATCGGCAACACATCCACTTGTGGAGTAGGAGCAGTTACAGACTGGTCAAGTGAAGGATAGAAGAAGCAGTGATTCAAAAAGGAAATTTTATATCTTTTGGAATTGTTCAGCATAGAGTGAAAGCCCAGCGATACAGTCATCATAAGAACAAAGTTCAGTATACAGTTGCATAGTTGATTTAAACTGTTTAATTATTTGTGAATCGATTTCAATTTCTAAATTATAAAACATCCCTAAACTCAGATCTCTAAATTCAGTTCTATTTACAGAAGGCAAAGCAGAAAGTTCAAAGTACAACATGATTTAAGAAGTTTATGAATAAACTTAGAATAAATGGGACTTAGTAGAGTAGACGAAGGGTAAGTGGACACCATGGGGCACTTCTCCAGTTCCCATAAGTTGCCCAGTTTTCCAGCTTCTGTATGGACAGATTGAAGCATCTCAACTAACTGCAAAAGATTAGACTCTGACAGAAAAAAGATCTAAATGTCAAGTCAGCTTGTAAAACCTAAACACTGCATGTTGCGACTGAGCATGCGTGAAAAATGCGAAACAAGCAGCAGCAGCAAAGTCAAAAATTTGCTATAATAATATATAGATCATTTAAATAGACAGCTAAAGGTCATGTAAACTGTTAAAACAGTTAGCTATCTCCACAGGATAAATTGTTGAAATAGCTAAATTGACAGATTGCAGCAGTTAGCTGGTAGTACTTAACAAACTGAAAAAGCAAAATGTTATCAGATAAATGTTTAAAACAGTTAGCTAATGGATATATGATTGAAATATCCAGCTTCTGCCAAATGAAATGGTACTTAGAGGCCACAAAATCAGATTTAACCAGAGCTCTAGATACTGACAGCTCAACTGTATCAAAACAACACAGCTTTATTTCACTGAATAACAACCACTTATTTAAATGACCACAATTCAAGGTTGGTAACGCGGTATTTCAACTCCCTTGACAAAAAGGTTGGATATCACTGCTGTGGAGCAAGTGCTGAATTCAGAGTGATATACATATAAGTCGTAGATCTAACTGCTATAAGCATTTAATAGCATTTCTTGAGATTTTATCAGAACACTTTGATCGTAAAAGTAGCTCTCTTTTATACCCTGGTCAATTTTAGTAACATTTTCTCACATGACAAATTTCCACTTTAGTTGGTATGTATTCTATTACACAATGTATGTAGTTTCCTAATATGGCCCAATCTGAACTTTTCTTATTTTTATGATGAGCAGATGGTTTCATATTATTGCACAGTTTTATTTTGATAACACTAATTCATCACACTTCTAGATGCCAGGAAGTAAAGATTATTTACAGTATAGTTGGTGCAAGCTTTGTCCATCCATCCATCCATTATCTAAACCACTTATTCCTAAATAGGGTCGTGAGGGGGCTGGAGCCAATCTCAGCTGACATTGGGCGAGAGGCGGGGTCCACCCTGGACAGGTCGCCAGTCTATCACAGGGCCAACATGTAGACAAACAACCACGCAAACAATTTAGAGTCACCAATCAACCTAAACTGCATGTCTTCAGACTGTGGAGTACCCAAAGAAAACAGGGAGAACATATACTCCACAGAGAGAGGCCCTGGGTTAGCAGGGGTTGGAACCTAGATGAATCTTCTTGCTGTGAGGCAACAGTGCTAACCACTCCACCATGCCACATGGTTTAGTTTTGTAAACCTTCTTAATGAACATCATGATATAGCATTCTAGAAGTCTTAATGACACTATAAAGAGACAATACAAATGAGATTTTGTCTTAATTACTGGACCAAACAACAAAAAACCTTTACTAGCTTACAAATCTCTCTTCAGAACTCTCCCTGGTAATTCAAATATGTTTTATGTCAATACGAAAGAGAAAAAAAAACATGAAAATCTGTCAACGTCTGAAGGCCAACATGGTCTAATCACTGAAATGTATTAATGGATGACTGATTTCCTAATGGCACGTTCACATCTGATAAGATTTAAAAGAGGTATGTTTATAAAGCTGTCAGTACCACATGCATAACTCGTTCGGGTCATGGTTTTGTGTGCGATGTGTGTGTGTTCCTGATTGGCATTTTTAAAGGTTGGACAATATACCCGCTAAAATTTCCATCAGCAGCTGTCAGTTTGGTTATTGCTTTACTTCATGCACACCGGTTTATGTTTTCCAAATAATGTCATAAAAGAAGGACAGCAGGGTGGTGCAGTGGTTAGCACTGTTCCCTCCCAGCGAGAAGGTTCTGGGTTCGATCCCTGGCTGACCTGGGGCTTTTCTGTGCGTCCCACATACAAGTATAATGTCATATAAATTTCATGTACAGCCCCTGCTTCTATCTCTTATTCACTGGCAGAATACAGTTAAAACAAGAGAGAGCATCAGGTTGTATCTTTGGCCCCATGTGGTTCTGTTAATTAACAGAATGGGTTTTCTATTCAGCAGGGAGTAATGGGAAGAGTCTGCATCGCTTCTGGTTCTTCTGGAAATTGCAATATCTAAATTAGGAAAAGGAGGGTGTTTTCCTTCATCTTCCAAAAACTGGACTTCATACAAGCAAGCTAGGAATACCTTCATGTATGCAATGAGAACTGCATTGTAGGGTGAGTAATCCAGTTACTGTCACATAAACATGGCTCTCTGTTTTATACTCATGCCT